CATTTCAGTCAAGTTTATTGACACAAATTTGAGCTATTCTACAAGAAAAAGAATTCTTATTCTTCCAAGATCAATGCAATGTCATCGCTATTCTCTATATCAATATCTTGATCTTCAAATTTGCATGAATTAATACATAATCCAACCTTGCAAGAGTCGTATTAATCCAATTTGATGTTCTTTTAGTAGAATATTTTAGTTGCTCTCTATTATCTGCTGCAGATATTTGAGATTTTTCAACAATAATTTGCTACTATAAATCTTGCTCTTCATAAATTTGCTACATTTATACTAGAATTAAATTCATCATTAATCACAAAATGATCAATATGTTCTCAAAATTAGTCATGAAAAGATATTTTTCCTTGTCAACATTATAGGACCAGTAGTTGTATATGTGAATTGTTATTAAAAGTAATTAAAGAATTGAACATGGTTAGTTTCATTATGAATAAGTTTAGTTAGTTATGACCAAGTCTAGCAATTAAGTTTATATGTTGCAATATAATCACAGTCTTTCTAGAAGTTTGAGTGAAAAATATTATTTTATTAAATATCAAAATTTGGATTTTAAGGAGAATATACTTTGATTACGTGTTAGTTTTGATTGGTTTGATTGAGCAATAGAAATTTCGTTAGTTAGACTATGTCTAAAGTTAACATAGTGACAAATTTAAAGTCTTAAAGTTTTAACTTTCAAATGATATCTCGTCATTTCAGCCTAGGAACAAAAAAAACTTCTAGAATGTTTAGCTAAGGCTATGAAATGTTGTTGAGTAATGAAAATTAGTCAGACCTGCCCAGATTTATCTAAGTAATAGTAAATTGAGTGATAAATACCATGTGTTATAAGAGTAATTTTATTCATAATAAAAATAAAAAGGTAGAAACGAGACTTTGAACCAAGTTTTGAAAGTGTGTGAGATCTTGTTCCATCAAAAAAAGGTTGAGTTTTACTACCATCTTGGAGTGTTAATGAGTGAATGAATTTGAGTTATGAGTGGAGAGATTGTATAAGAGTGTGTTTGCAAGAGATGCATGATGAGAATTTCTTGTATTCTAAAACTATGATGAGCTAGCAAAAAGTCATATGAGATAAATTTGAGTGAGAACTAGTCCAAAGATCATAATACATGAAATCTGGTAACTAGTTCCATCTTTTAATGATTTGAACTCATTGAAGAAAACATTTCTAATGATGATAACTTTAACGGCTATTTGATCACATAACATATAATTTTTCACATCACTAGCATATAGACATTTCTTGGATGTAAAGTTCAACTTGATCCTATTCTTCTTAGATATGAAAGACTAAGTCTTAAAACTATTTATTTTCAAACAATTATAATCAACCAATCTTTTGTGATTCAGTTCAATCGGTGTAAAGAAATTATTTGGAGTAGAAGTTTAAAGGTTTACCAAATACATTACAATATTGATAGTTTCAACCCAAAATTCATGTGTTAAAATAGATTGTCTCAACATTTTTTTCAACACTATGATTGAGACTTTTAGAAACAACATTTTGATTTGAAGTTTAAACCATGATGAGATAACTAATAATTTTCTCTTGTTTGCATTATATCTAAAACTACTCAAGATTATACTCTTTGCCATTGTCCGTATGTAAATATGTCAACTTCTGTCTAATCTGAGTCTCAAATTGAGTATTTTGAATTTTGAAAGAACCTAACATTAATCAATGGAACATTGGATTTCATCAAACTACAAAATTTTAAGAGATGCAATATCTTGATGTCTTATATGGTTGATCATTTTTCATATGAACTCAATAGTTCAATACAGAGATAGGCAAAGAAATTTTTCAATGTAACAATTGTCATGAGAACAAGCATGATATATAATCTATACATCACCAACATACTGTAGTGAATTGCAGAGGTCATACCTTCAACATCAAAGTTCATTGTCTAACAAGTCATTTTTTTCAAGATTAAACTCTTAAATCACGTTGGCTAACAAAAAATAAACAATTTTGGTCTTCACAGAGCAGTTCTTTTTAACCTGTCCACTCTTGAAACATTTTCAACACATCATAATTTTACTCTTTAGACATTTACAATTAAACTTGGATCTATACTTAGATTTAAAACGCTTGTCATCCTTGTCATCTTGTGAATATGATCAACCTCGAATCACATTTGTGAATCTAAACATTTACTCTTATACTTGAATCCATCTTTAGATCCAAAACGCTTACCATTCTGTCATCTAGTGAATATGACATTCAACAATCGGGATGAGATAATCATCACGTTTGTTATATTTGATTGTGTTGTATCCTCACGATTGTTGTATTTATTTATTGTTGTATCTTGTTACTTTAGACTTGATGGTTGTCATCTTGTTATGTCAACATTCAAAGTTGTACAGTGTGCTCTTGTTTGAGTAAAATTTACCTTTTTTTCACATGGGTGTATCTCTCTAGACTACACTCCAGATTCTACCACAGGACTGAGAAGACTTTTGATCAACAATGTAGGAGTTGTCCTAAGACGTGATGGAGCTTGTGGCCCCTTTCCTGACGACTGTTGGATCAATTACCGGCTACAATTATTTCTTGCTCATGGCTAGAGATCCGTCATATCAAGGTTTAACCAAAGCGTGTATGATCATGTTTGGTCTCCACGACAGTATTCAGATTGAGAGCATTAAGCAAGAGATTGAGTCTATCATACTCCAAAGCCATGCATAGCAAACCTCCTCAAATAACCAAAATACTGTATACAAAGTTTAAGAAAAAACATTAAAACTCATTCATAACATATTTGTTCTTGAAAATATAATTTGAAGTGTAATACATCATTTTTCACTTTTAGATTAAAATCACATGCTTATTCAACATAAGAAATGTGAAATGAAATAAAAAATAATTCTATCCTGTTTATCTATATTGCCTATTTTTCAAAAAAATTATAATTACAATGACATATTGAAGCCATATCATGATATATTGATGGTGTTATCGTTGGAAATGATGAAACTAGTTTTTGTCAAACTCCTCTAAGTATATGTGTAATGATGAAATTCTATTTTTTTCATAAATGGTTTGTGAGATCTTGAGTTGATAACATGTATGTTGTATTATGAACTTGACTATAGTTGCAAAACGCAATTTGAAGCCAAAGATAACAAGAATATTTTAATAATGAGATATGATATATATGATATTTTAATAATGAGATATTATTTTACCCCAAGTTTTTGACATAGCCTTTCAAGATTCATCATACTTGGATTATGTTCCATATAAATTCGAAATTTTATATTGAATACATTATATTGAAATGAGGAAAACTTTACACAACTTCTGAATATGAGAAAAATCACTACTTTCATTATATAGAAAAAGTTAATGGTTGTAAGAACATATTATAATTTCCATAATGTTCATGTTAGGCGTCAATGTGAACAAGGTTAAGTAAATTAAAAATTTGAATAGTTAGAATATACTGTTTTGTCTCACGTTTCAAATGTACATGTGTTTAAGAAATTAACCTCACAGGAATAGGAAAAAAATTCACATAGCCCAGAACTATTATTCCGTATCCCTCTCAGTTCCTTAACCTCATTCACGTAATCCATTGTTAAAAAAGTCGTTGACTTATTGGATGGTAAAGTGGGTTCGAAAAGCTGTTAGATTGAATCAAAATCAGTTGGAGTCTGCACGTTACCGGAAAGTGATCACGCAATCTCATGTAACAAGTAACGACCGGGCAGCAAGAGGAAGTGGAACTTATAGTACTGTAAGTACAAGAGGTTTCCAGGTCCTCAGAGATTGTGCTTTGTTCGTTACACACTTTTTGGTCTCAATTATGAAGCTGACTCGCTACGAGCTCGCAAGTTGAATCTCAGACAATATTGCACTTTGTACAAGGAATCTCATCGAAAAGAAGGATCACTCGAATGATACTAGATCAATACGGTCTTTGTCTCAGCAAATGTCCTACTCTTGTTCGGGACTTCCAAAATCGCAAGGCTCAATGAGGAGACTTCGCAATTTTGGACTTAGCTCGAATAGGCACAACCGGGCACGAAAGTGCAAAACACGAAAAAATCGTTCGCTCGAAAACACTCCGGGAACATGTATTCTCGGAAGTACCTCAGTCTGGCAATGAGTCCATCAGACACAAAATGATTCAAATCAGTTCCAAATGTAGAAATATAGAAAGGGACTTGTTGTCAAGCAGCCAAACTCGGGCCGATAGAATTGCAGATGGAGACGACACGAAGAGGGCTCGGAGATAACGAGGGCCTATGGGACAGACGAGGGCGCGACGGCGGGAGAGTCGTCCAACCGGACCAATGTGCAGGGACCACGGACACGTGGCGGCCGAGAACAGAAACCTGTCCAAAAGATGCTCATGCGGGCGGGTCAGACAACCGAGGATTCATCCAACCGCCTGGCCGTGTAAATCTCCTGCACCTACCGACCCACTGCGGAGCAGGATGCGACCCATGGCGTCCCTGGCGCCCTTGCGGCGTGTTGCAGCCCCGCTCTAATCTGGGAGCGGTCCGCGTTCCGTGCTTGGCATATGCACAGATCACGAACCAGCAGATATCGACTGCAACCACCGGCACAAACCACCGAGCAAACAACCTACCGAGGGACCGGCGAGTTAGATCGTTAAGCCCACGCGATCCGGACGGCCGGATGGCCGGATGGTCCGACGTCACGGCGACGGGGAAGCCTGACTCCGGAGGACTCGGCTTCGCACGACACATCCGTGGAAGCAGGCATCGGACGGCTGTGAAAACCTCTCTTGTTCCACGTCTCCCGTCCGTCTAGAATCTTGGATGGAATATTCTCAATATTAGTCTACCGGTCGGTGAAAGCTCCTGGTGCGGTTCTCTGTGGGGAAGTTGTCCGAGGGCAGGTGGGAGGACGGAACTTTGGCGGGGGAGGATGGAGGATGGAGGATGGATGGATGCAGTTGGGGAAGAGTACGAGGAGGAGACAATGGAAACATTTGCGCAGGGGGGAGTGGGGATTTGCAGGCCGGTCCGGGCCATGTGGAGCGCCTCTTCTTCTCGCTGGCAGAGGGAGGGAGGAGAAGGTGGCCCGGTGGTTTGAAAGTCTCGGACCTCGCTGTCTGCCGTTGTTGCGGATTGTCGATCGTGTAGTATAGATTCAATTCATGCTTCGCTCGAAGGCCATTCTGGTGTATGGAGGACGACGCTGCTGTTGTTTCTCTCGTGCGGCCAATTGCTTGATCAGGACTTCGGCGGTGATCAGCAGATTTGGCCCGCAGGTAAATGAAATTGCCATTGTTTGGATTTTTTTTTACTCCTTTTTACGATCACTGCTTTGCTCGGTCGCTCATGTTCCCGGATCCAGTGGTGTGGACTCTGAATTCTATCTGCTGCCGCCCTTTGAATCTAAATATCAAATTTAGCTTTGGAATCTCAATTTTTCATATGTCCTGAGTTTCTCTTTGTAAGGGCCAATTCAAGAGGTTGGCAGTCTCGGGGGTTTGATTCCGTCAGACTTCACAATTGGTTCTTCTCTTCGAAAAGAAAGATTTCTTTCAAAATCTTGCAACGCTGAGGGTTTGCTAGTTATTGCAGGGTCCGGGAGAAGGACCAGGTACGTTGGGTAGAGTTGCACATTGCGGATCTCTGCGATGGAATTTTGGAAACCTATGAATAGGGAGAGGGTTATCATACCAAACTTTGGGTGAATGAAAATCAGTTTTCCGTGGATGATTCGTGATTCATTTTTGGAACTCTCAGCGCGGCCTTGAAGTTTGTGGCGTTTTTCTGCTTTCAAACTTCTCTGAAAGCAGAGTTATGCAGTTATTAGCTGATCTATAATCTTTGAAATTAGGAACGTTCAGCCTCCAAGTCGATTCGAAATTCCCATTAGCCAGGACTAGAGGTTGAGGTGAAATACAATTGCAGTGCAAACTCTTACCACAGTGGAATGTGCGTGATCATTTGGGCGTGGCGTTCTTGTCTGTTTATTGTTTAAAACCATCTGAACGAGGTTGAAAGTAGCTTCAAGGAAACAGTTGAGACTGCTTGTTAATTCAATCGTAGGTAAGTCGCGCACATACACTCTTGAAGTGATGAGAAGAATTTTTTAGCGTGAGATTAAAGAGAAACAACTGAAACTGATGGCAGGTCATTCCTGCAGCTCGCCGTTTATGTATTATGGTTGGTTATAATCTTATTTCTTGTGCTGCAGGATCGGGGTGGTTCTAAGCTGTCCACATCCAGCTTTCAGCGGAGTCTCCAGAATCACCCGTTTTCTACGGGTACACTGCAGATACCTACAAGCAGGTACTTCTGTTCTTGGGAGATCGAAGCTAAGATGCGTACAGTCACTGATGTGAAGAAGGAACCACTTTCACATACAACAGTTGAAGAACTCACAAATGGTCTGAACGAAGGTGCATATGATTACCGTCTGAGTACCTCCTTTGGGGCATCAGCAGTTTCTGAACATGCAGTCAAACTCACACCGTCAAAGTCAGAAGGTGAAACTTCATCGCGATCTGGATTGGCTATTCCTGAAGTTGATGGTCGTGATACCAAGGTGGATATCAGGAAGCTCAAGGATGAGGTGGCTTCGTTAACAGCTGCAACACCAGTGCTGAGAGTTAAAAGTGGGAATCATCTCTCTCGTCACGCTTCTGAAGTTGTCTATGACCAACAACCTCTTTTACGAGGACAACAACGAAGACGAAGATGTTTCTCCGAAGACGATGTGGGGTTTGTTCCTCTCGCGCGTCAGCATTCTTCATTCAGGGATGATGTGGAACATGCTGCCCACGAGACTTGGCTGATAACCCGCTTGAGCTTTCGTCTCCTTCGTTATCTCGGGTAAGTGTTCATATCATACTCGAAGTTGAAATGCCTGTCCAGGAATGGTGTCCACATTCTTGATTATCGAAACCACTTCTATAGTTTAAGTCGTACGCTTCGTTGCAAAAATAACTACGGCATGTCCATCAATACCTCACGAACACTTAAGAGCTTTACAGTTTCCAGCCATATGGCCAACCAGCTGCGATTGCTGCCACACACAAGGGTCCAAGATCTTGGCACTCTTGAAGGCTATGTCCGATGTGATTCATTGAATATGGGTAGTGAGAACATCTTGCATCCCTTAATTTGATCGCAGTTAGTTTGATGATTTCACTTTAGAGTTGGACGAGCTCTTTTTGAAGAAGGTCGTTGTGGAAGAGGCAATCTTCAATGCTCTGAAGTTCTGAGGATTATATCTGAAGTAGCCCTTTGCTCTCTCTCGAAAAATGCGGGAGCCGGTATCAATTCTGCAACAGCCAAATGTGTATATTGTAAGCTACGATCCTCGAAAACGAGAATGTAACTGACCAGTAACAATCATGAAAAGTACACAAAGGAAGTGAAAGTCTTTGCACGAGAAACTAATAATTGCAGTATTCATTCAACAATATAGCACTTCACTTTTTGCCTTCGGCCATAAACATGCGAATCCACTGCTTCTGCTGGCCATCAGCGCACTACGAAAGCCGAAAAAGCGGTTGAATGTTTGAATTATTTATACGGTAATAGATTTTCAGGAGTTTGGCATTACATAAACGAGGAGCTCATGAAGACCGTACTAGATATCAGGAAGAAAACTGAAGTCTAACAGTGACGTTCGATCACAATCTATTCTTTGCTGGCTCAGTGGACGTCAGTATAACTCTTATCGGAAGTCACTGCGGAATTTGGCAGAGGTTTGATACAGGTTTTGACCCAATTACTCGTCGACATTGATGTTTCAGAGTGGGCTATCGATGGATCACCAAGATGTTGGCTCTTGGCGTATACGCTATTCTTCTGATGCCCGGGTTCTTGCAAGGTGAATAATTAAAGCGTTGTTCATTATCTCCGTGTTTAATTATATTTTGTGTTTGATTAATTGCCCATCTACGATGGGGAGGTTTACATTTGTATGTTAATACGTTGCTCCTGTCCCGAATTTTAAAGAATCGTAAAGTCAAGACATGTTCGTTTTCGGATGAGAGAAGTCTCATTCGGAATGGGAGTATACATGAAGAGTTGTCGAATTGAAGACTGGTTGTCTATGCTTGTGTCCTATAGAAGGGTTGGAACGTGTTTTAAAATTCTAGACTTTCTCAGAAAAGATCCATTCAGGCATAGAAACCAGCAGCAGTAATGTATGACAATATATGATATGTTTATATTACTTGAGACTTGGGTTGTACTCTTGGACTGGTTTTCAGTTGCAAAGACATTATGTAGTTGAATGTGCAACGTCCTTGAGCTGAATATTGAAATTACTGATTTGTTTGGGTGGTGCTTCAGTCGGATACCAATATTTCTTTTCAAAGCATGTACATCGCAGCATTGTATATGGTGATCAACCCAGAAACAGGTGCCTTTACATTCGACCTTAATCTCTTACGGTTGCTTCTTTGCTAGTTATTCCTCTCGTCAATACTTGGCTTTTGTCAGAGTGGACATTATTCACCCTGTAGACCCTAACGCTCCTTGGGCGTTATGCTACCAAATTAGTGGCAGGAGGGTTGCATGTCACAACTATATACAAATATATTTCAAGTATACATCATTGGAATTTGTTTCCGATCAAGAAAGGACCTTGACTTGTGGAAGTAGCTGCACATTTAAATATGATGTCAATTCTTGGATGGGTGCGCGCCTAGTTGTGTGGAGTTTTTTTTTCAAACTTGAACTGTTTCTTGCCCAATGCCAATCAATATGTAGCAATCTCTTATAACCAGCTCAATGCTCAGGTGGGTAGTCTTTAGTTATGAAGAGAATGTAATGATTTCCTGCTCACACCTGCAGGTTTAGCATCTGGAATTAAGTCTACAGCCTGCCGAAATTGACTTGTGAGTGTATGTCATGACCAGGTTGGACTTGTACCTTCCAGATAATACAGATCGACCAAAACCAGTCGTAATATTTGTGACTGGTGGTGCTTGGATCATCGGGTAAGAATGTTACCCTTACCGCCATGTAGATATACTAAGGCACATGCCGGACAGGCTCGTTCTTAACTTCCGTTTGACATAAATGGCTATGCCCTTGCCTCAAGAGGACAGCTTGACTTTCAGAGGCCTGCATCCTTATGTCAAGACCTTATTGGATGCTTAATATTCATTCATCTTCCTGTAAGATGCAAACTCATACCGCTAGTTTGGTAGTTCTCAACTAACTCAGAGATTTACGTCGGTGTGAGGATAACTCGAACCAGTAGGTTTGCTGCACGCTGTTTGCTCGTCTGATGTTTTTTATAATCCCAGTCTGGTCACGAGAAGCTGGGTTATGGTTATGGAGATTCTTCGGTCTGTTGCATCGTTGTTGAAGTAACAAGCTGTTGTTTTACGATATTTTGTGATTGATTGCAGATACAAAGCTTGGGGTTCACTTCTCGGTTTACAGCTTGTTGAGAGGGATGTTATTGTCTGTTGTATCGATTATAGGTAATTTCTAAATTTTACTAAATTTTACTTTTCCTGGAATGGTGGAATCTTCTTGATATTTTAGAACAACTCGGCTCAAAGTTCAGCACATGCCGTAGATATAGCGTTCCAAATCTCACGTTCCGTATACAGAATGTTCTTCGTTTTCTGTGATCATGGAGGTCAAACTAATTTTTTTACTTAGATACATTTGTTTTTCTACAGGAATTTCCCACAGGGTTGTGTAAGTGAGATGGTAGAGGATGTCTGTAATGGTATCGGTTTCATCGTGAACAACATAGCACAATACGGAGGCGATCCAAACAGGTACAAAGTTTTAGATTAGGTTATTTACTGTTAAGGGAGGATCTTAGAACCCTTCATAATCTGCTAGTCGGGGACACTTCATATTTAGCTTGTGTTATTGCCGGGCAGAATGCAATGATAATGAACCGTTGGGTTTTGGCTGGGTACTGTAGTGAATTTCAGCATTCCGTCGCTCGCTAACTGGGAATAGGTGTACATGTTTGAATATTTTCTCTTTGTTCACACTTCTTACAGCTCAGGGGTTTTAATTTTGGAGTTGGGCTCAACATGTCTACCTTAGTGAAAATAAGTTCACACCGTATATTTACATTTTGACTGGGTTTGCGGTTAAACATTTTTTCTGTTTTTCAACCAGGTTATTTCTGGCTGGTCAATCTGCTGGAAGTCATCTGGCCGCCTGTGCTTTGGTAGGCCAAGCTAAGAAAGAAATAGGCCAAGGTGAAGGAGACATTTCTTGGAAATGCAGCCAGATCAAAGGTTTTCTGGGGATATCTGGCGGGTATGATTCTTAAAGTGTGGCTTCAGAACCGTGTTGGACGCCACTATGATCATTACTTACTTGTTAATGTTTGACAACATCCCGTTGTTGGAGATACCGATTCCGAGGTCTTTGTTGCTTCGAGAGGCTTGCATCACCACTTGTAATCCACAGGGTGGAACCTCAAAGCACTAGTTCAGTCTCATTGTGTGGCATGTTATAGAAATGAAGGAGATTGTGTTCTCTAAAACTTGTTTGTGCTATTATGTCTCTGCTTTACACAGGTATAATCTTCTCAAGTTGGTGGATCATTTCCACAATAGAGGTCTTTATCGAAGTATTTTTCTAAGGTGATTCACGTACTGTGAACAGTTTGTTGGTTTATATAGCTGGAGCATGTTCTGTTTTCATAATCGTCACAGTGTTGCCTGCTCGAACACGAGAATGTTGACATTGAGTTCGAACAGCATTCTGCGGTTCAGTTTTGGGTCATAACTGGGAAAAACTGTACAAGAGCATCGTACGAAGAAACTGATTGTCGTGTAACACGGGGCTGCGAAGTTATAACTGTTTTTTAAGTTATCTACTCCATTTGGTAAACCCGGATATGCTTATTTGTGTAAATGGTAAATGGTAAATGGTAAATGGGAGCTCACTGCAATGTTATGTGTGTGCAGTGTCATGGGAGGAGAAATATCCCTGCCAATGTATTCTCCGGAGCTGACAGTTTTGAGCGAATCGTTTGCGGAGGCTATTCCTCTCCTTCCTCCAATCTACCTCTTCCACGGTACCGGAGACTACTCCATACCATCTGACGCTAGGTAAGTTCGTTCGGACAAGGGTTTATAGCAGCTTGTTAAGGGGCCTACATTGCCTTGATTTTAAGCTGCTAAATAAAGTGCTTGACGGAGTGACTTTAGAGCTGATCTGGAGTGTAGAAGGAATGATCAATGTATGCGTCTACCGAATATTTGAAACAAATATTCGGTGGTGGTGTGCCAGTGCAACATTTGCAGATGCACTCCGATCGAAGGGCGCAACTGTGAAGACAAGATTTTACCCCGACAAAACACATACAGATGTGTTTCTTCAGGTATATGAAGTGACTACGTGCAGCAGAAGCACTATAGTTTGAGTTTTTCTCTTGCTGACCTAAAACATCGATGTTAGCTTTCGACGGCATGGACGAAGAACCTCTGTACCAGTAGGTTCGGTTACGAGTAACACATTGGAGATTCACGAATATTTGTTTCCATCAATTCTATGCCAATAAGTTATCTTCTCTTGTCGACAGACACTTTGTCCAGGCCAGACGGAGAGAAGTTTTGAGTCGATTAAGGCGTATTTCATGTGTAGGTTACGCTATCTGCTTGAGAAAGACTGACATATCAGAAGAATATGCGGCAAGAACTTTAACATTTTAAGATCTGTGATTTATGTGCAGGACCCTATGCGAGGAGGTCATGATGTGCTGTTTGAGGATTTGCTGGCTATTGTACACGCAGACGACGAAGAAGCAAGAACTAAGGATGCCCAGGCTCCTCTAAGGCCTAGGTTAGTGCCAGAGTTTTTGTTGCAATTAGCACGAAAAGTTAGTCCATTTTAAATACATAGGAGCCAAGTAGGAAAGTATCTGATAACGAAGTGAATCCACACCCATTTACATGAAGTTTCCAGTTCAATCAAAGCGGGTGATGTACATCTAGCAATTTTTTGAGCTGACATTTCAGCGAGCTTGTATTGCGACGTCTTGTAATATATTCTGGTCTGCATGTTTACGCCACCACGTGACACCTAACTTTTGAAATGAGAGTTGACATTCAATATGAAAATTTTGTGTCAAGGAATGCTTTCTACGGATATAAGTTCTTGTGTATGCAAGGAAGAAAGTAAGTCCGTCTGTAAGTCCAGCACGGGGCAATGAACTTTTGGATGGTCACACGACTTGACAGCAGCCCAAAGGCTTCCAAAGTCTCACCTCTGAGAGCCGCTAGTCACTCTTTCCGTCTCTGAGGACGAGCTAGAAAGTCTCGACGGTTACTAAGAGTCTTCACAAGGCCGTTAGCAAATTTTCAAGATTTCTATTGCCGAATACTCTTGTAGTCAGAGAGGACACTCCCATTCTGCAGAACCTACACTCGGACCTTGTGCGATGCATCCATCAAGTGGCGTGCATAATTGGAATTCTTGTACGAGGTGCAGTTTGCGAGCACAGACCTAGCAATAAGAGAAGCATAAGACTTTTGTCCTCAAGGGCCCAATCAGAGATGTGGCTCGACTTTTGAAGCAGCTGTAAAGTTAGGCACAGGATCTCCTTCAGCGGCAGTTGACTTCCAACCGCTTTATTGTTGACAGAAGCAGCCGAAGTCGTTTATCGGATGGAGAAGGAAACAATGATTGTGAAAATCTACAGTATTGGCGAAAGAAAGAAGGAAAGGAGGAAAGAAAGAAAACTTGTGAGAAGAGAAGAAAACTCGAAAACCTTCCCTGTCACGAGATCGCATGGGAGAATGTTCGGTGTTCCCTCAACTGTTTACGTTGACTCGCTCGCTCGCCAGGAAGACCTCGCGACGAGAGCATCAGGATGCTCTCGTTGCCCGTCTCCCGTGCAGCAATCACACCGCTGCCGTGCAGTAGTCCGGCTCCTCCAGAGTCCATAACCGAAACCATCCCCGCCAATTAAATCAATTATCTGAGCCAATTAACCCGCGGATTGCGCCGCTGGCCATGATTCTCACCCCGGTCTCAATTGCTCTCCCTCACATTGACCTCCAGCGGTCAACCGGCATGAGTGAGTCCACACCCTTCACTCGCGCATCATTTTCTCCACAATTTCTCCTTCAGATTGGCCAGGCTCCCCCGCGCACACGTATGCCCAGGGGAGACTCAGGCTCCACGTTCGCCTGATGCAGTCCACGGCCCCCAGCTTCCAGGCATGCAGCAATCTCTCGATCATGCATTCGGTGACGGGGCGACGGGCAGTCAAGCAAAAGCCTCGTCGTCCTCGTCCTCATCCTCGTCCTGCTCATTCGTCTTCCCGGGTCTTCTAAGCCTCCACTCGATAACGCTGGCAACTGTTGGGCCGAGGGAGTTGCCTCATGTCCCTGATCGATCGAATTACATTAATCCCAGAGGAAGGGCCTTTGGTTTCTTTCTTGATGAGAATTCGTATGTTGTTGAACTCGGATGGTTTGGGATTGGGGTGATCGGGGAATTGGGTTGCCAGAATCTGGCGAACTCGTCGGAAACGAGGAGCAGCGAGCGAGGGAGATGGAAGGACCGGACAGGTCCCGACCACGAGAAGCTTTCGGGTGATAAGGCCCTGGGCAGAATGCCGACGACAGGATTTGACTCGTGCGCCTGGTAAAGGATTGGGTTGCTGATATGGAGAATCTGCAGATTCCGAAGTATGGATCTGGCCAGAACATACTATTATCTGCCAACGAGGAACCGAAACCAGTATACTCCGAGACACCAAATCCCATGTCCAGATCCCCGAACACGATAATGTAAACAAAATGGGCCTGATGCTTCATAGGAAGCTCATCTTCGAAAGACTCATTCTCATGCTGTAGAACGCCATCGAGCGAGACAACTGCTGCTGGCAATGGCTTGGAATGTTAGGCGAGATCTCTCGCTTGTCCATCTGCCTTCCAGGGGAGACTGGGGCGGGAAGGTGCTGGGCTCCATGGAACCAGTCCTCGTTCGATACTATTCGAGAAGAGAAGAGAAGCGAAGCGAAACGATGTTGTGACGACCCGGGCCGAGGCATGGCCAGGCCTGGCCTGCCCAGCTCGGGAGCAAAAGGACCCACCACCCTGAATATGAGAGCCCGTCACATGAATCATTCTCAAATGCCAGGATGACGGTCCTGACGGAGAAGTTCACAGATCAGTGTCAATCATATGCAAGAGACATCATCCACAACTGTTTCGGAGGGCTAGAGCTAAAGGGGTGAGCTTTTAGAGGGACTCGTGAAATAGAAAGACACATGACATGGTTGGGCTCGCCGCTCACATGGTCACCTTCTCTTTGCGCGTTAACAGACCACATCAGAACGTGAAGTTTGGTGAGTGGGTTTATCGTTTGCGTTCGTGGTATTAACTCGCTGCTCGCTGATGATGTTGTGTGGGTGAGCCTCATTGATCCTGCTGATTGAGCCCGGGCCCCCAGCCACCTCTCTCACCGGGGCTCCGGCCTCGAGCTGCCATGCCCTCCGTGTCCAGCTTCTTCTTCTTCTTCTCCTTCTTCTCCAGATCCCATCAACTCCATGCTCCCCTCCCACCTCCACCTCCCAGATGCGTCCATCCGTGCTGCTAATCGTCCTCGTGCCGGAGATCCGAGGTCAGGTGCGGTGGGAGGAGGGGATTGGGTTAGGTCCAGTCCAGCGGTATATATTTGGCTGCTCACTATTGGAAGATTTCGCCATCGCAATTATCAGCGTGGGAGGTTATATTTAGGCCGGAACCTGGATTTAAAGCAAGTTTCTAACATGTCCTCGAGAATGTTTTTGTGCTTCGAGTAGACACATCCATTTTGACCTCACGCCTAACAGTTACGGGCCCAACTCTCCCTCAGTAGCAGAAGCAGAAACGCAGCAGCGAGTAGTAAGTAATCCATCCGTGGGGCGGACCCCACCACGCCACCACCTCCACCTCCATAGCACCATCCGCAGCATGCTATTGTTGGTTTGGCCGAGGAGACAAGCCCCGCGCGAGCCAGAGAGCGGTGACTCACTCACTCAGCGGCACAGAGCAACAACATCGGGCATGGACACAATGCAGCAGCAGCTGCCGCTGGTGCTTCCGGTGGAGCTCGCTGTGCTTGTGCAGGGCGAGGCGAGGCGGGGCGGGGCGGGGCGGGGATGGGGAATGTGGGGGATATGGCGAGGCGAGGGGAAGCCAAGGGACCGAGAGAATGTAAGCATGTGCAGTGGTGGTGGATCTGGATTCCGGTGCTGGAGGTGGCAGGAGGGGTAGAGCAGGAAGGAGGAGGAGGAGGGGGGCCAGGGGGCCTGATTCCCTGAGCCCCGCTTCAGCGGGAGGAAGTGACTGTAATAAATCCTCCGACGACTTGATGGGCTCTTCCCATCCTTTCCGTTAGTTCACTGTGTCTCCCCCCATCCTAAAAACTCTGATAACAAGACACGAAGGGATTTTGACATGGACCATAATTCCAGTCAGGAGCTTGTTGTTTCCGCGTGTCAAGTCCAGTTCGTGCATTTTGGACATATGTGTGATGACAAGAGAATTTGGGCGATCTTTGGAGGCATACACCACTTCCGCTCTGCAATGGCAACAACTAAGACCCGCCAATTATAGTCTTTCTATATAGGGGATGGTCTGTGCGCAGGCGATCTCGCGGCCGATCCAGGCTCCGGTGCCGATCGCCACCCCCCTTGCCCTTCGCTCCCCCACCGCTCTACCTCCTCGCCTCCGGTTGACAATGTAAGTTAAGCGAGCGAGCGCTTCTCCGCCTCTGTTCAGCAGATGATGATTATGCACCAATTCTCGAATTAGATGCCCCTCCCCTCCTTCGGTTATATATAAATGTAATGTATGCATATGCTACCCCCTCCCTATGTCCGTCTGCCTGTCGGTTGGCCCCGGAGATAATCCTCGACCTCTTTTGTATCGCACATAAAATCCTGAACGAGATGACGCTACAGTGCCTGCCTAATGCTCTCGCTTTGCTTTTTGTGGCTCAGAGCTCCGGAGCCAAGCAGGCAGGCAGCAGGCAGGCCGGCTCATGTTCATAAACATCTAGCGCGAGAGATATATATACAATCCCAAAAGAGTCAAGTACAGGATTGTTGTCGGAAATTTATATAAAGCTCGCTATCCCAATTCTTTACTATATCTTTAGTAATTCATAGAATATCGATCCCACGGTGCCATTTTTTATAGGCCCCCTGCCCCCTGCACGGTTTTTTCGACTAGTCCACCAGAAAAAGCAGCTGCTGCTCTTTTCCTCGATGATAGGCTCGCATGTGAAAATAGAAGGCAGCCTCGCCCTGGAGAAATCGTAGACTCTAGTGGAAAATATAGTCTATTTTATTTTTTCTCTTCGCGGCTTTTATTAATATCCATTACTGCTTCGTTTCGTTTGTGTGTATTGTTCTCCATAATAGATTTTCAAAAACTTATTTATATATATTTTCTCTCAAGGTATCACAGTATCATTATCTATGAAGGGACGGAGATACGGATCCCAGCGCACAGCGGATACGAATCTCGGGTAGATCCTCCTCTCCTTCTCCAGATGGGTGATGCCATCGACTGCAACTCACGTCTCCCCAGGCTCTAGAAGATCGTCTATTACTGCGCTCGAGTGCGAGATTCCGCACATACACCAACAGCCCCAACCTTCTGAAGAAAAGTGAGCTGCAACCGGACCCAACCCCAGCTTCAGCCTAAGGCCTCCTCGTTGACCGGGACTTGAGAAAAGAGGGGAGCACACGAGAATCCGTCGCAGAAAATGAACTCTTACGATGCAGAAGGAGCAAGTTGAGCCTAGGCGAGCCGTCTCCGCCAGGTCTCTTCTGCTCGTGCGAGAACCTGTGTCCAAAGCCCATCTTCAAAGTTTGTAACATCCGACGCGGTGAACAGGAGCACGACGAAGATATTGTACCCTTGGGCCAGTTCCAGATTTGCCCCTTTTCCTTCTCGCTCAGAGCCATCTGAGCCACCTTATTGCCATCGGGCCAGAGGCTTGATCGCCCCACCAGACTCGAGTGCTCACTGAGGTCACGTCTGGATGACTTGCATGCAGCATATCTTAATCTTCGGGGACTCTGGGGCTGAAGAATCCTCGATCAGAATCCTCCCCCATTTCGTTCATCCAATTTATTTATTTTATGTCAGGCAACTCCAAACGCTTGCTCCGCTAAGTTTGAAGCAGCTGCTGCTGATTAGAGAAGGAACTTTCAGACAGAAAAAAAAAGGGAGTGAGCTCAAAAAGTGGATGCCCTGCTCTCATGGCGATCGAACACCACCAGAGTCGGTCCCTTTCCACACAAAGAGTCGAGTCAAACGAGCTGACACTGACCCCAGAATAATCGAAGGGGAGCCTGCTACTCCTGCCCGGCTACAGTGGGTCGACCCATGTATAGAGTGGAGCTTGGGCTTGGGCTTGGGCTTGGGCTTAAGCTTTGTCCCGAAACTTTCGTGTACCGCCTCGTCGGAAGGAGAAGAGGGATGGGGAAGTGACCGGTAGAAGGGACAGTAGTCGGTCGAGAAGGAAGCGAGCGAGCCGAGTCACTGAGGCCATTATGCAAAGGTCTGCATTCATCGACGTCACTAGAAGGGGGGATCAATTATCAAAGTTTGGTGGCTCTGGGCATAATTGATGTGCGTGGTCAAAAGGAATGTTGGAGGACTGCGTAAAAGTTGATGGCTTATAATAGGCGCGAGGGGTGTAGGTATGTTGTGTATGTAGATCTCTCCCACAGTCCCACTCTCCCCACCCCTCCCTCTCTCCTCCCCCTCTCCGTCTTTGCCTCTTGTGCACACTGTGTACTCCGGATAAGCCCCTCCCCACGCAATGACACAGACGAGGAGAAAGAAAAGTCTCCGGTTTTCTACCCCATTGCAGTAAAATCCGTGGGCTGAGGGGCCTGGATGGATGGTTGACCCCGGCCACTGGCACTCCCTCGTCCGTCCTCTTCAACCCCTGCACTTATGACTTGCTCATCTTGCAGCTGCTGCTGTTGATGAAATGGACGGGGAATGATTTAAATCGAAACATCACGTAGCCACAAGGCTTACATCTTGCGTAGAAAGGTGTCCACCATGGTCCTCCCTCTTGCATGCCTGCTCGCGTCTACCACCACCGGGGCCTCGTAGCACATGTGTGCATAGGGGTGGGTGTGCGAGACTTGTCACCATCACATGCGTGGATCTCATGGAATTAGGCTCGCGAGGGGGCGGGGGGAGGAGGGAAGAGAGGTCTTTTGATTTGCAGTCTGACTGGTTGATTGACTGACTGACTGACTTGATCGCGGAAAGTCATTTCGAATCCTCGGGGTCCTCCTCGGAGAGTTTGCTTTTGAGGTCAAAGAGGCGATTCTCACTCAAGTTGGCACATCCGCTTTGACATTGAGTCGGGTGCTCCTGTAATTCAGCTCGTCGGCTCTAGATAAGCTGGTTCACTGCCACGACAAGTGTTTGCTTTTCGCAAATGCCCATCCGCTGAATCAATGTGTGCATCTTGGATAAGATCGAGCAAATGTACTTCCCCTTCGCGTATTAAATCGAATTATCCTAATGGGGGCTAGCACGCACCTACAGCAAGCTTCAAGCCGCTTCGAATAATCCAAGTGGGCGTTCACCCCAGTAACTCGATGCGCAAGAATCCGGCAACTGTTTTCTGTGTTCGCCCACCACATTTGCTGTGGTCAAAGAGGCTGCCATCTCCCGATCGACGGGGACTCGTCCTTTATTTTAACTCCCCAAGTCAAACTTCCTCTGAGACAAGCACTTTCTGAGTCACGTCGAGCTCGAGGAGCTCTGGCGTTCGAGAGTCCTCCTCCTCCTCCTACGAATTCAATGCCGTGCCCATGGACACCCCGATCTCGAGAACGAGCCGCGCTGTAGCCAACGAGGAAGGAAGGGAATGAGCAGAGAATTCGCTTGTGAATCTGATCTGCTGCTGCTGCTGCGCGGAACGTTGAAGCTGAGGATATGTCGCCCGCTTTGCTCTCATTCGTCCATCCGTCCACAGGCCCATCGCCTGGGGCTTCCGTAAGGCGATCGAAGACCGTTGCTGTAGAAACCAGCGTGAGGACTGTAGTCGGCTGGCTATCCCAATCGATGCAGGATTTGGGGGGCCTCGGGAGGCGAAGGGACCAGCTTCGCGAGGGGGAGGGCGAGGGCCTGATGATTATTCCCCCAAAAGACCACGACTGTGTACGGTAGGCGAACAGAGTTTCTGATCTTAAAAGACGAGGTCCGAAGGACATATTCTCAACCACTCCCGCAAACAGTCGCTCTCACTTACGGCAGGGCGAGGGGGATGGAGACGGTAGATTCGGCATTGACTGGCTCAGACTGTGGCTCGCCCGGGGCTCGGCACATCCTGTGGAGGACGACCTACGGGGTAGAGTGGGCAGAGCCGGGGCTGGGGCTGGGACTGGGGCACGACCGGTGAGTCGGAACCGGGAACAGGGAGGAGGGCTTCGCCTGCGTGCCTGACAGATGACAGACGTGAGCCGTAAAGTCGAGGTCCGAGGGAATCTGGAATTTTCGCGCAGGTGGGGGTGGGGGTGGGGGTCGAGGGTGCCCACTGCCGCGCTGTTGCTTGAGCACCACAACTGGTTCACTGTGGCGTCCGTTGCTTTTCGCAGCGGCGACAGACGACGACGACGACGACGACGACGAGGCGAAGGAAGGGGCTCTCGGCGGGGCGAGCCCGAAGCGAAAAGCGCTTGTCTTTCTCGGCGGGTGGTATCCGTTCGCAGCGTCCGTCGTCTTCGCCCAGCCCCTCGAGGTTGTCGTATGCACCACGCTGCCACTCGGCCCTACGCCGCGCCTCCCGTCCCGACGGACGTCGCTACAGGCGGCCCAGTCCGTGCTCACGTCACGTCGCGAGCGAGGAGGAGGGGGGCCGAGAGTGGACGGACATCCGACGTAGAAGAGGTTGTAGAGGGCCAAGTACAGGAGAGCAGTGGAAGGTTAGGAAGGAGGGAGCGCGCGCGTTCCGCGTAATTTGGACATGTCTGCAGTGGACGTCGTGACGGGCAAGCGCGAGGCTCGCTGACAGGTGTGTGACCCGTCGGTGAAAATTGCGGCTCAGGTGGAAAAGACCGGGGGTTCCACCCGCGCCCACTTGGCCTGACGGACACTAATGTCATCGCTCCCCATGCTTCCTATCCCTGAAATTCCTCCAGTTTGGCGTAACTCCTCGCCGCTTTGGGCCTTGGCCCACTTCCTTATCCCCTCCCCCTCTCCCCCCTCCCCTCCCCCACCCCCCCTTCGCCAGCCAAGCCCAGCCCCGCCCCGTTTCCTCGTTGCTCGCCGTGAACTCCACGCGACGCTCCCAGCTTTTCGCAGGGCGCCCATCCCATCCCCCGCCCCATCGCCTCGCCCCACGCAGCCATGGATGCCAGGCGCTGCCATGGCATGCCGATGAGATGCGAGGGGATGTGATGCGATGGTGATGGGGCCTGGGGCTGGGGATGGGGATGGGGTCGCGGCCCCCGCCGGCAGACAGTCAGGCAGGCAGGCGGACGAGAATGCCGGCACGAAGCCAAAACACGTAAACATAAATCGAAGGGGGAGCAGAGACGCGCATGCGCGGCGGAAGCATGTGTTCCCGTCTGTTGGGTGGGAGTTCCCAGACGGATGACAGGCAGGCTGTAGCGGTTCCACCGGCGGTAGCCCGCGCTCGCGGCTCGGCGAGCCGGGCCGACGCGGAAGCGGTCCGTGCCGCGTGGCGGCGCCGAAGCGGCCAGCGAGGCCGGCCCCGAGGCGGGGGCTCGGAGGCGAAGGTCGTCGGGCCTGGAGGCGGACTCCGTCGGCCGGGGCCAGTCGAGAGGAGGGGCTGGAGGGCGGCGTGGGGAGGCGACGACGTAAGCGGGTGACGTAATACGTGGCAAAATCGCGGTGCATGAGAGCACACCTCAGCAGCGGAGGCGATAATTCATAGAGCCAGGCGGGCGCGCGATTCGAAACTGGGCGATTTGCGACTTCCGGAGGATGGCCGATGGCGGCTCTCGCTCAGCGGGGACGGAAGTGGGAGGTGACGTGAACTCGCGACGATCCACAGGCTGGCGCGGCTGGCGACCGGTGGGCCAAAGATGGGGCTGGCTGGCTACGAGCGAGAATGAAAACGGAGCCGTTAGCTGCAATTTTACGGCGGGCCACTACAGAAGAGGACAATCGACTGATAAATGAGGGACCACGTGCGTCGGCTCTCGCCCCGGCCCGCCTTTACTCTCCCCCTTTCACCCATGCGTGCGGCTGTATATTCCTCCACCCTCCCCTGCCCGGCCTCCCCCCTCGCCTCTCGCGTTCTCTCTCGCCCCCCTCGTCCGCTGCCCCTTCCTCCATCTCCGAACAACACCAACGCAGCGGCAAGCCCCTGCAAGACCAGCTCGCCGCTGCAAGCGCAAGCGGGCGAGGCAGGCCAGACCCGGACGGACTTACTGACTGGCTGACCGGACTCGGCAGGGGCTGGGGCTGCGCGACGGACTGACGGGGCTGGCCCCGCCTGACGGCCTGCCTGCTTGCCTGCCTGCCAGATCTGACCTTCCTTCCTTCGTTCCCTGACCCGACCCGACCTGACCACCTGCTTTGCTTTCGCTTACCCCGTCCCGCCCCCTTCGCCTGCCCAATGCCGGTCGATGCTCCCCACACTCTCGCTCCCACTCCACCTACTTCTCCCCTTTCTTCTGCCTTTTTCTCTCACTCGGCTGCTGCGGGCTCCAACTGTGTATACGTGTTCTTACCCCCCCAACCTTCAAGTCTGCTCGCTTTGCTGCGACTGTGCCATTTACTACTACTTCCTTCCTGCCTTCCTTCCTTCCCTCCCTGCCCCCCTTCTCTTCATCCTTCATCAACCCTAGGCAAGGTCCACTATCCTCTCTCTCTCTCTTGCAACTCACCCACTGCAGCAACTCCCTCTCTCTCTCTCTCTACCTCTCTCCCCTCCTCTCCTTTCCCTCCCTATCCTTTCACAAACAAAAAAAAGGCTTGGGCTCTCATTCGTTCTCTTTCTCTCTAGGCTCGTCTGCGCGCTGCTGCTGCCGGTGCTCTAGCGAGTCTGTTCCTGGCTGTCTCCTGGGCTGCACTCGGATCCATCCTCCCTACCTGCCTCCCTTCCTTACTTGTGTGCTCACACTCCACACTCGTATGCCCTACGCTCGACCTCGACTGTCGTATATCAGCCTGTTGCAAAGCTTCCGGTACCTCGACCTCGACTTCGGCCTCGGCTTCTGTCAGTCGCTCCTTAGAAGTGCTACTTAGTGGCAGTAGGTCTGTTCTCGTAGTGAGTGAGTGAGCGAGTGCGTCGACGAGGAGTCCCGCGCGCACGGCAATTGGAATCTATAGGAATTTGGAGCTGCTGCACAGATGGGAATTCGCAGAGCGTGAATACTGGGACATGGACAACGTATCCGGCTTTCTCACCCTCGTGGTCGAATGCAGCTCCCTCTAGACAGATAGCCCGCAAGCCCCCTCGAGAGCCCCCGGCGCGCACGAGCAGGATGACGGTTTGAGAGACCCGGTCGCAGTGTTAGTCCCCCGCGAGAACGTCCCAAGCCCTGCGCTGCAGACCGTTGCGTCGGCTAGCCCCGGCAGCCATCGGAGCTCCAGCGGTTCGAGGAGAGGAGCTTGTTGAACAGTGGCCGGAACCCTACCCCGCCTGCCTTGCATCGGCCTTCCATCGGTCACTGCCCTCGCTGCTGCTGCACAAGGACCGAGTCTTCCGAGGGCGATCTTTGGAAGCTGCCGCTCCCCTCGAAGCCGAGCGGCGGATTTTAGGCGCAGGAAGGAAAGGTTTTTCTCAGGTTTCCGGGCCTTGTTTCTGATCGTCAGGCAAGATGGGGAGGGTCAAGCTGGAAATTAAGAAGATCGAGAATCCCACGAACCGGCAGGTCACATACTCGAAGCGCAGGAATGGGCTGATCAAGAAAGCGTACGAGCTCTCCGTGCTATGCGACATAGACATTGCGGTTATCATGTTCTCGCCTTCCGGCAAGCTTACGCAGTTTTGCAAGAATGACAGGTGCACCATCTTCGTCATCTGCCATCTTCTCCTAGACCGCTCATTTGACTCCGGAGATTGCCCTCCGAACTCCTTCCGATCTTTGTATGGAAGTCTTTTGCTGTTGAATGAGATGCGATTGTACCGGGGGACCTGGATAGAGTCAATTTCACGCTAGTGCATAGGCTGGATCAACTCCCTCGCCCGCAAAGCTCCGGCATGAATTGTGGATATTATGGGGCACAGCTTCAGACGGAGCATTGCATATTGGCACAAGGCATGGAGGGTCCGGCAATGCTTTCGTGGTCTTTAGCTCGCGTGTTGGCGACGAGGAAACAGGCTTTTGTTATCACAGTACACCGGAAGATCAGAATTTGCGCCTGACACGTTCTTCCTCTTTGATTGCAGAATCGAAGATGTTATTACTCGGTTTGCGAACACTCCTCTCCACGAGAGAACGAAAAGGTGCACTGCCCACCGTCTTGAGATTCTGACAATTGCTTCAGATTTTCCACCGCGTGTGCCGCGTGATTTTCATGCCACAAATTTGACATCAGCGACATGTGTTTATTGGGTACTAACTTCTGCTTGTTGCTTTGCATGCGATCCGTGCACCTCCTTCTCACCATATCCGGTCCAACAGAAAATTTGAGAATCTGGAGGTAAGATTATCCTCAAGAAAGCATTTTTACGTCCACCGGATCGCTAAGCCGTCATGAAGTATCCATAGTTGCCAAGTCCATGAATTGATTGGCGTTGGCGAGATGACTCTCACCGCATGTGACGCTCATTCTGTGTCTGTGGGTGTCGTTGCGACTGCAGTATCTCAACAAAGCGATACGAAAGCTCAACAGCGAGCGAGAGATGGAAGGCCAGCAACCAAGGTATCAGCACGAACTCGTCTTGCTTCTTATATTTGGGACGCAATAAATCTGTAATCGTGGATTAGTCGCCCCGCGAACCGGGACTCGAAGGTGGATTTTCTTCCCGAGGTCAGGACATTGCTCACCCGTTGTCGTGTGGCGTTTGCGTGACAGGGGGATGGGGTATGGCGAACACAACTCGCTCGAGGTTGAGGTGAGCACTCTCGGTGCATATTCCGAAATATTCCTTTACGTAATATCGCTTGTCGACTGTAGAGGCCTGCCGACCGTCGCCGGCTCACAGCCATGAGAACAGTCCTTTGCGCGCCTTCTTGGCATTCATGATTTTGCACCAAAAGCAGTGCCATGTCTCGGAGCATGGGGCCTCGAACTGCCTTTGTTTTAACGATGCAATGTCCGTGCTACAGGAGCTCCAAGCCACTCTCAAGAAAGTTCTCATGGAGAAGCAGTTTTTCGAGCAGAAGGCCAGGTGCGTCCCGTCTCTCGCTGCGCTGGATAATTCCATTCCGCTAAAATCTAGGAGTCAACGCTTCTCGGAGCCTAGACTTTTTTCCGAGTCCGAGTGACCGAACCGCCTGTCATTATGTGGGCCGTGCGCCGTGCACTATGGTTTGAGGCGCTGCTGCAGTTGCCGTGCATCAGGCCGGTTCACGAGATCCCAGAGGTTCTAACTCCGTCTTTGCCGTGGCGCGCAGATTGTTCCAAGGCGAAGAATCCATCAACAGTCTGACCTCTATGAACCAGCTGGTGGCAATCGAGCGAGAATTAGAGCAAGCGTTGGTGAAGGTCAGAGAGCGAAAGGGTCAGCTGGGTCAAGAGGAGTCTCAGCTGGCACTTATGCGCCAGGTACTTGTCGTGCCCTCTGTCTGGGTCGACATTTTGCCTCACCATCTTTCGAATTCCAATGTTTTATGTGTCCAGTAGTCAACGAGTAGTAGGGGCTTCCAAACGATCCCATTGCGCTCCTATTTTCCAGACGATCTTTCGCTTGCTGAACTATGCTTCTAGCGGTACCGATTATGCAGCGGCATAAGGAATTAATCCTTGTCCTCGAGTTTGCCTGGATCCGCATCCGTCCCTCATTGTGGCGCCGGAATTTCTGTGGTGCAGCAAAACTTGCTACAGCATGGCACGTTTGTACAACAAATGATGGAGATGCCTGCCCGAGGAGGAACGTCCAATCTGAGCGATGGTCAAAGTACGGCTACCAATATCGGCGGCGGACAAGGATCTCAATTTCACTCGTGGATGGATCACCGGGTCAATCAGGATGGATACATGGATTCTGCGCCAACGTCAATGTCGATGATGAGTGCTTCTCAGATGAGGTATTACTCTATCGAGGTGCCTTATCAAACAACACTCGAGAAGGAAGAATGAAGATTTGCAAACCCCTTGGAACGAAGGTGTGCTACGCATTGAATGAATGTTAGGTAGTTGTCATGTTCTAGTGAATTGTGCTGGGTGCTTGCCTCGAGGATCATGCCGGTTTGTCCGATTGATAACCAATTTCATCTTGGAATTTTTGTGGGGTTCGGGTTGTAGGGAAACGGGAGGCAACTCGGAGTCAACTGCGTCTTTCTACCAAGGGGCATCGCAGGCCCAGCAGATGCCGCTGGGCGGCCACGGCAATCACGGCAACCAATTAGAGCTGCGGGGTGGTGACGGGGAATCAAACACGAACTTTTTTCATGGAGCGAAAACTGAAGCCGGAGTCCAGTTTTTCCCTGGCGGCTCGCAGGCCCAATTAGTCCCTCTCTCAGGCCACGGCAGTCAGCTGGAATTAAGAGGTGGTGATTCAGAAGCGAATTCGGGATTTTATGGAGGGCTGCAGCAGCAACAACAGCAACAGCTTCCAGCTGTGTCCCACTCGAGTCAAGTCGAATTACGGCAACAACCCATCACTTCGTCCGGAATCACTGGGTTTCGCCCGTCCATGATGAACCAAGGGCTTAGGGTAGGGCCGCAAGGTTTGAGTCTGGAAAATTTTGACGATCAGAATTACGAGGCACCCAATTACTACAATCCGTGATCATCATAGGCGTGTGTACACTCAGTTTCCTATTCTTTCCCGTCCTAGATGTAGGAGGTTGGTTTGCTCCCAATACGGGAGTTTTAGTTGTCCATGTTTAGGATACTTAGGATTTTGTAAAATCTGTTGAGCAAAATAGGTAGAACTGCTCGGATCGTCCACCAGGCAAGGAGAGGCGAATTGAATCCGAAGAGTAGAGGAGCGAGGGAAGGGAATTACGATTCAGTCCAAGCACCCGCGTTGTCATACTCCAACAATTGGGGTTTTTCAGTGGCTTACAGAAATCAAAAGATTTTCTGTTTCGATCGTTGTGAACTGTCGGGTTTGATTGTGTTTTGTTTGCTTTAAGAGAAAATAGAAATGAAAAAAAAAAAAAAAAAAGGTGTAAAAAGGTTTCAATAGCGTGTAGTTCCAGTGTGTTTTGGAATTCGTGGCTTGTGCTCATGGAGATTGATGTATGAGTTGCAATCTAGGAGTTCAAGATTTCTCGTTGCTAGATGAAACCTGCAATCTTTTTAGAGTATGTACTTTGTGTTGCTGTTCTTAGGTGGCCAGAATAATGTATGTAATGGGAGTCTTCCGTCGTACAGGAAAATTGAAGCTAGACTGTGCCTTGTCCGATGGAAATCGTCGTTTCGGCCTCTTCCTCGATAGAAATCTCTCGCAGTCACTCGGTTTTGGAGATTTCGTCCGCACAAGGCTTCAGCTTCTCCGTCAATCGAACAATTATATCTCGCGAGTTCAAAATTATCTGAAAGCTTTCAGATTTTGCTCAGACCGACGCCGCGCATTCCGTGGTCACTCTCAGTGGTCGTTAGCTGCGCGACTCGTTTTCGTTCACAGCCATGGCGTAGTCTTTCTGCCCAAGCCTGAGATGGTCACTCACTCGCACAACTATCGATGCGTCGTAGCCGTTCTATGACTACCATGAAATGATAGTTGTGCATCTCTCTCGCAACTCTCGCGATGCGGTCGAGAGATGCTTCCTTGGGACCTTCTGAAGCCGGTGGCAGATCGCGCAGCAGTAATGAGCAATGAGCAGAATTTTCGCCACGGAGGCTCGGAAGAACGTCGCAAGGTCCAGATCGTTGAAAGGAGGGGACTGACAAGAGACGAGAAGGCTAGAGGAGAAAGCTCGGTCCTACGAATGGATCGAACACGAAGAATTTTCTCAACGATCAGTTTAGGACAATTGCAATCGTGCCGCTTTACAGCAGAAAAGCGTAGACGCAGCAGAGCGGGCGAGAATAAATGTTCGATCCTGCCGCTGCGCATAACTTCGAATGAAGGTGGCCACAGTCACTTGGCTTTTAGCTGTTGGATAGAGTTGTACAAATGTGATACCTGTCAACATGCTCCGAGCTACAAATTGCTTGTCCATCTCTCTCTCGATGCAAATCCCGTCGCAATCTCTTATCTCCACGTAAAGTCGTTAATCTCTGTTGAAACCGGGTTGCGTTGAGTGGATTATTCCATCGATTGTAGCAGTACATGGGGTGTGACAAAGGTTCTGCGGTGGCTGTGGCCATGGCCATGAGAACGAGGAGTGGGGTGGGGGAGGCCGTCCGTTGTGTAGGCAGGCCCTGAGAGGTGTACCTCCCAGACAGGCGGGGCTTGGAGACGAGGGGACGGGGTGGACTCAATCATTTGCCGGGAGTTAAGTCGAAAGTCAGTAGTCGAGATGGTAGATCCTCCCACCTGCAGCAGGAGGCGGGGGTAGAGAGAAGAGAGAGAGGATGGGGGCTAGTTGAAACTTCGATGTTGCGTAGCGGGGTGTTGTGATGCTTAGTTTGATAGAGGCCAGATCTGCTATGACTGTCTGGCTGGCCAGCTCGATGGATGGATGGCTAGCTGGCTGCCTGACTAGATTTGAGGTGTGTCTAGTAACGCGTTTGAAAGCAATTCCGCCGAACATACGGCCTCGGAGAAGTTATCGATTTTGATGTTACCAAGGCTCGAGATGTTGCTGCTGACTCATGTCCCATCGTCTAGATTTGAGGCACGCAAGCAGGCATGCAAGCAGCCCTGTTTCCAGGATTCGTCGTTCAACTTGCGTCAAACGACCGAGAATCTGGCATTCCCTTCCGCTGCTCTGTGCCTTCTTCGGATCCACTTTTGCTTCTTACTGATAGTAGAACTCGTCCACCCCCAACCCCAGCCCCATCCCCAAGCCCAACCCACATTCTCAGCTTTGTCTCATCCCCTCTCGACCCGGCCGAGCCTGCCCAAGCCTAGGCCCCAAGCTCATCATGCTCGTGCTCTGCTCGCGCCGGGCTTAGCTTTGGCCCTCGTTGAATCACGATCGCCTTCACATCAGCTCCATGCACACACTGCTTGCTTTCGCAGGCCTCTCTCGTCTTGTCGTTCCCTCGTCTCCCAGTCTGAGCGTCATTCCGAAAGCCGGCTTCTTTCTTGTCTATTGACTTTCTGCAAGGGCGTGTTATTGTGTCCTCCTCCTTCATTAAATTTGACGGCATTTGTAAGTGTATCAGTATTTGTATTACTGCGCCAGTGGAGATGGGGGCTAGGCAGCCAGGAGCCAAAAACACCGAAGCCGTAATCTATGTTTATAAATCTGGGCGAGCAAGGCCCGGGCCATGAGATAAGCGAATCAATTCGCATGCGTCTTTCCTTCTTTGCGTCGCTCGATCGAGAGCGGGACCGGTGTTCTGACGCTATAAAGCAGCTGCGACAAGAAGGTGCCTTGGGCTGCTTTTTTCTACAAGAAAAGATTTTGGCAGGTTTGTTTTGTCAACCGTCCCCGTTATGTTCACAAGCGCTTGCCTAGATCGGGTTTGAGCCAAAGCCATGGCTCAAACCGGCAAGCAGCAACACTACAAATTTTTTGCCCAAAACAACATCTGCCAATAGAGTGCGCGAATATTTTCTCTGAGCTTAGCCTCTACCATGTCGTCCCATACATATGGAAGGAGGGAGGGGAAAATAGCCCGGCGCCAGCCTTCGGGCTCCCGCTCGGATAAACCCGAGAGAGCTCGAGCACACACGAGCAGAAGAACAAGCTCGCAACTCGCTCGTCAACTGTCGATCGGTCACAGATCGAGGGCGGGCCATGTTGGGACGAGGGTGCCAGCAGCCGAGCAACAGTAGACCGGAGGCCTTTGTCATGTGGGGAAGCGAGGGGCGTGCACGTTCGCAGGCTTTTGTCTACGCTCGTGGCGCCCAGGGAGCGAGGGGTCCGCGAAAGGCCCTATCGACAGTGCTCATTGTCGACTAGTCGGAGGCTCACGAGCCTTCCGGGTACGCTCGTGACGGTGGGGTGGAGAGTGGGCAACGATTTTCAACGTCGAATCAATCTCTCTCTCCCTCCCTAGGAGAGAATTGTGGTTTCAGCGGAGCTCGTCGATGAGAGCTCGGTGGGAACGAATGGGAGCGAGGAAGGAGGAAGGAGCCTCAGAAGGTTCTCGATCTGAAGAACGGGCCCGACTCGAGCTTGAAGGAGATAGGCGATGGCAGTCGTATTTGGCTACGGGGACATGTGAATGTGAATCTGAATGTCAAAATTCCCGGGAGGTCAGAAGCGGTCAGTCAGAAACCTTTTCGCATTTATAGGGATGCTGTCATATCACCCTTGGCTGACCATTTCTTCCTGATTAACAGGATATGACGGATAGTGACTCCCAGCTCTGAGAAATGAAAGCTGAAGAGTCACTCATAAATTCGCGACTCCCTCCCTTCGAAGACAAAGAGTCCATAGTCAACTCTCTCTCTAATCTCGCTCGCGATGTACACACGTCTGTCCGTCCCTCCCTCGCGAACGAGCCCCCGCCGAGTCGTTCGAGCCACCAGGCTGCCAAGTGGTTGCGCCGGGCATTCGTTTATTTCCCCAGCCCCAGCCCCCGTCGCATAATATTCACTTACCTATTCTCCTGTGAGCGGGACACCGACCGGGCCAGGGCCGGGGCAGGACCGGCCCCGGCCGAGCCCGATATCGGATATCCTCGAGCCGATGCACACCACGAGGCACCACCGCCAAGGGGCAGCGCACCAACGACAAAGTCGCTCTCTCTGGGACGAGCGCTCGTTCCGCGTATCTGGTCGTGTCTCGGAGCCGAGCCCCGGATGGGAGTCTAAGAGAACCGTTAGGGAGTGCGAGATCCGATCGACCGGCGGGGGCTAAACAAACATATAGAGGGGGCGGTCGAGGATATAAGTAAGCCCCTCGGCGAGCGAGGGGCATATGCTCGGAGCAGTGAAGCGGTGCTGGTCGCGAGACTTTATAGCCCCCCTGCCCTCCCGTACAGCCGAAACTCGCAAAAAGCGTAGAGGTGGTAGTGTGGTGTGTAGATTTCATTGATGCCGGGGCGACTTTATCTCGTCGCCCGACCCCTTTGGTAGGGCAAAAAGGAAGGGAGAGAGAGCGGGCGAGAGAGAGGGGCTGCCATTCACGAGGGCGGACAGTCCACTCCGCCCTTACCTTTGCTTCGGCCGTCTTTCACTCTTTCGTGCATGCATGCACGGAACGACCGCGGGGGCTAAAGGATGGAGGAGATTGATTCAAGCGTCGGAGTCGCGGGAAAAGAGAAGAGAGAGAAAGAGAGAGAGAGAGGGGAAGGGGTTAGGGAGGGGGCCTGGGGGGAGGGGCAGGGGGAGAGTGATGTGAGCCTGGGATTCTTCCCGGGGACCGGACCAGACCACCAACTGACGACCCCGACGTCACTCGGCTCGGCCGACAGAATACCGTACTGCTGCTACTCATTGCGCTCCCTTTCCTGTCGTACTTGTGTACCGTCAGATGCCGGGAAACTCATCCATCTGACGGTGGGTTCGAACTCCTGTGTACAGCATTTCCCCCACTGACCGCGATCGAGCGTTCAGGGCTCGGGGGCTCGTCCTAGGCCCAGTGGAGTCACGACACCCGGTGGGGCCCCGGCGTGCATCAATCGGAGGCTGACAGATCGGAATCTAGCTTGCCCCCGGCCACGTCGCCGCAGGTGGACTCCTTCGGTGCGACGCTTGGTCGAATCGTCCGTTCTCCGCCAGTAAAACCCGGTACCGGGGCGGCCAAGCTTGCCCGGAAGACGTCGGCGACCGGCCTCCCTCTCGTGGTTGGCCCGCTCGCCCGATCCCATTCCGCTCTCAATGATCGTCGCGGAACGAGTCCCGTCTGACCATGCACCAACAGCCAGGCCTGGTGGATCTATCCCGTTGATTACCGGTACACTTTACCAGGGGCAGCAGTAGCGGCAGCGGCAGCGGCTTTACGCCTAGATTCTCCTTCTTCTCCCCTGCCCCTGCCCTGGGCCCGAGCCGAACCCAACCCAAACCCCAGCCCCAGCCCACCCCGCGCCCGGCGCAGCGAACGGGCCGAGAGGACGAGCAGGCATCGTGGT